ATATACAAGAAAAGCTTTCAAAAAGGTCTACCATCCATGGTACCTTTGTCTAGTTTGCGACTGGGGTGGCAGGATCAAATATTTAACCTAGTTTAAGAAACCTAGCAGTTGTCGTACCAACCTATTGGCTCGAGTAAGTTTGTTTTGGTGATTGACAAAGGAGGACATGCATGAACCAGGTCCATGGACTGTATACACAGGTGACAGATAGAATTAAGCAAAAGGCTTGCATGTAAAAGGGATAAGTCTAAGTGGTTAAATCTGATATACCCTGAATGAAAAGGTTGCATATTTGATAAGGAGCAGGACTCCTTACTTGAAGCGAACTCTATCCATGATAACGGAACATTTAGAAGTTAAAGTTGACTAGAACTCTTACACCAAGGAAAAGTAAAGCATTAGAACTCTAGTTAATCTTTATTTACTAACTCTATATATATCACTTGTGTTCTCTTTTACAGGTGATGCACACATACTGAAGTTAAGCACGAATTGAGAGCAAAATAGCAAGGCATTTTGTAAGCAATTCATGTGAGATTTAAGAGTGCGATCGTGAAGCTACACGAACCAGATTGAAGAACAAGCTCCATAAAGAGTTTCATGTGTCTTTCTTTATTTCTAGTTCAAAATGTAATAGGCGTTTTGAGTTGTACTTTTCAGCTCTCTAAGAAGCAAATTATACTAGGTACCTGAGTTGTATCATTCAAGTTAGAGTTAACTTGAAGCAGTTGCAACAGCCTGTGGCTGGTTGCTATAAGGGTTAGAGTTAATCCTTAGGTTTGCAAGAGTTTGTAAACTTTGTTGTTGGCTAAGAGTTGTAGTGAAGTGTTTGGAGAAAATCCTACTTGGTAGTAGGTCGTGTTTTTTTCACCTTTTGAGCAAGGTGTTTTTCATGTAAAAATACTTGTATTCTTTGCTTTCTGCATTTATCATTCCGAAACTGTAGTGTAAGGAACATGTAGAAGAACCAGGTTCTTCTATAATCTGTGCACGCGAAAAATTGGACACCACACAAATCACCCCCTCTTGTGTGGCATTGAAGTATGAAACATCAATTGATATCAGAGCGAGTTATCCTTGAAGAGGCTAACACCTTAGGAAATGATCAAGATTAATGCACGACCTGAAAACTGTGAAGGGATCTCCACCACCAGGCCACTGCTATCAAATGATCACTACTATTCTTTGTGGAAAGAGAGGAGAAGAGGTCGCTTCTAGATAACTAATGGATGCTACAAATGTGGTAAAAAGAACCACATGATAAAGAACTGTCCTATATGGAAAGTCGAGTGGAAAAAGGAGAAATCTGAAAGAAGGAATAGAAAGAAAGAACAGGTTTATGAGAAGAAGAAATACAACAAAGGACCATCCAAAGTAATGGTTGCTTCCTGGGAAGAATGTTTAGATGAGGACATAGATGATACTGAACGAGCTCTTATAGCAATTCAAGAATCTGAAGATGAACCTGATGAAGAATCTGAAATAAGTCTTCTGGACCAAAAGGATAAAATTAAATTCCTTTCTAAAGAAAGACTATCAGAACTATTGCTAACTTTAATTGATGAAACTAAGACTATAAGTTCTAAAAAAGAACAGGCTTCAAAAGAGTGTAACTTTTTAAAAGCAAAGTGCAAAAACCTGGAAATTAGGGCTTGTGAAACTGAAAAAGAAAAAAAATTGTTTTGAAGAACCAAGTTCATGCACTTGACACGACTGTTTTAGAACTTAGATCTGACAATATAAAATTGAAGTTAGGAACAGGTAAAGAAATAGCTAGTGTCACACAACTCACACTAGAAAAGGATTTAGGAAAGGTGAAAGATGAGCTATATAAGAGGGATGAATAGGTAAGAGTCCTCACGGAGGATCAGAACAAGGTCAAGCATGATCTAGATAGAACTTGTAAATGGAACAGATCCTCTGATACACTTTCATGGCTACAAGAACATCAAAGTAGCAACATAAGAGGACTTGCCTTTGGGAACTCTGCACCTAAGTGGGATCCCAAAAGCAAGTACTTCACACTCCCTGAGAACAAGATTTGTACACATTGTGGTAACACTGGTCACTATAAAAGTGAATGCACTGCAAAAGAGAAGGCAAGTCAAAAGAACAAAAATTTTGTTCTAGGAAAAAATAGGCTGCCAAGTTGGGCTAAAAAGAATGTGATTTATCTTTTTGCTTATTGAAAGGGACCCAAACTAGTTTGGGTTCCTAAAACTAACACTTGATTTTCTTTTGCAGGTCCAAGTGAAGGAGAGCAGCCAAATATGGTACATGGATAGCGGCTTCTTAAAGCATATGACATGAAGCAAGAACTGATTCCTTTCACTTGAGGACCTTAAAGGAGGTAATATCTTCTTCGGAAATGGGAAGAAAGGTGAGATAATTAGTGTTGGCAAGGTAGGTAAGACTGATTCTCACTCTATTGAGAATGTGTACCTGATTGATAGACTGAAATACAATCTAATAAGTGTATCACAATGTTGTGATAGAGGGAAAAAGAGTGAATAATATATATATTGTGGATCCGCCCACACTCTCAGATAATGAACTCACATGCTTTAGTGTGTTGGATAATGACCCCCTCCTTTGGCGCAAAAGACTTGGACATGCTAATCTAAGTCAACTCAACAAACTAGTCTCAAAGGACTTGGTAATAGGACTGCCTAATATTAAGTTCAAGGTAGACAAAGTTTGTGAGGCTTGTGCAAGGGGGAAGCAGGTAGGATCCTCTTTAAAAAGCAAGAAAATGGTAAGCACTACTAGAAGATGGAACTGGACCATATGGATCTTTGTGGACCAATGAGAACTCTGAGCAGAGGTGGTAAGAGATATATTACGGTGCTTGTTGATGATTACTCTAGGTTTACTTGGACACTATTTCTAACTTGCATTTGACATGTTCACTTCATTTGTTAGAAAAACTCATAAACAACTAGGTAATTAACTTGCATCAATTAGGTCTGATCATGGTACTGAATTTGAAAATGCTAAATTTGCTGAATTATGTGATAAGCGTGGCGTAGATCATAATTTTTCTCCACAACAAAATGGAGTAGTTGAAAGAAAGAATAGGGCATTGGAGGAAATGGATAGGACTATGCTATTTTCTAGTAAATTGCCCCATAGTTTCTGGGTAGAAGCTGTGAACACTGCATGCTACATCATAAATAGGTGCATGACTAGACCTCTTGTTGAGAAGATTCCCTATGAGTCACTTAAAGGGAAAAAGCTAAATATATCCCATCTTAGGGTATTTAGATGCAAGTGATTTGTTTGCAATAATGAAAAAGATTCCCTAAGAGAGTTTGATCCCAGAAGTGATGATGAAGTATTCTTGGGATATTCTTCACATAGTAAAGCTTATAAGATATACAACAAACGAACTATGTCCATATAAAAAGTGTATATGTTATTTTTTTAAAAAAACTAACACTCTTTCTGAGAGGCAGGAACAAGATAATGAAGAGATTTGGCTGATAAGAAATTCAAATGGTGAAACCACAGTCCAGCCCGAAGATGCATCACAGGAAGGAACAGGTGATCGAACAGGTCCTTCCACCCAGGGCAACATGACAGGGGGAACTGACTAGAGAGAAATTGATTCTCAAACCTCGAGGGAACGTGTCCATGAACCTATTCCTCAGTAACAAAACCAGGAAAGAACATCAAAGAAATTGACACTCCTATTACAGCATCCACAAAATTGGATATAGATGAACCTGGTTCATCTGTTGATCAGAAGTTGTATAGGGGAATGATTGGTTCTCTTTTATATCTCACTGCTAGTAGACCTAACATTATTTTCAGTGTAGGACTTTGTGCTTGATTTCAGGCAAATCCAAAGGAGTCTCACTTGACTGCTGTCAAAAGAATCTTGAGATACTTGAAAGACACCACTGACCTTTGTCTATGGTATCCAAAAGGTAGTAATTTCAACCTAGTGGGATATGGTGATGCTGATTATGCAGGTTTTCTTATGGATAGAAAGAGCACATCAGGTATGGCACATTTTCTTGGCTCATGTCTTGTGTCTTGGGCTACCAAAAAGCAAAATTATGTGGCCTTATCTACTGCTGAAGCTCAGTATGTTGTGCTGCCTCATGTTGTGCTCAATTGTTGTGGATCAAACAGCAATTAATGGATTTTGGAATTGATGTAGGTTGTATCCCTATATTTTGTGATAACAGTAGTGCAATTAGTAGGACCAAGAACCCGGTTCATCATAAGAGAACTAAACACATAGATGTTAGGCATAATTTCTTCTAGGGAAAACTATGAGAAGGGTTTGATCACTGTGGAATTTTGTGCTACTGACAAGCAAATAACTGACATCATCACAAAAGCTCTAAGTAGAGTTCACTTTGAAAGAAATAGGTTAGAATTAGGGATGATTAAGATCACCTAAAAGGAACCAGTTCTTACCCAAAATTTGGTTAGAAAATTGTGAATTTTTGTACATAGTTAGATTAGATTTTGATCAGTCTCATACTTTCATAAGTATACTCCTGTGCCATGTGCTAATATGACTCATTATCTATAATGATATTATCTTTATTTCCTTGGAAAATTCAGACTTACACAAGAGATTTCAGTGAAGAACCAGGTTCATCAAGATTATTTGGTTCGTATTCTCCAATCTGCATAGTTTGAAATAATTATATTTGGATCATGATTAAGAGAAGAGTCCATTCAATCTCAAACCCCATTGTACTTATCTGTTATAAAAAATGGACCAGTTTCGTTCAAAAGAGGAGTCCAGACCGCATTAAGTGCCTAGATCCTAGGGAACCTCTCCAACGTCTTTTCAAAATAGAAATGCAGTTTGATTAAACCTTTGAAAAGGCTGACGTTACTCATTTGAACTCCTCCACGTTATATTGATTAGGCTTTACTTGTTTCTTCACTTCTAAATCTCTAAGCCATTAGAATTCTCTCCAACTTCTCTCATCTTCCAAATACTCTGAAACCTTTTTTTCTTACTCCCAAGCATAGAAATGGCTAGCACCTCTAAGAATCCCTCATCACCACCTAAGGGAACCTCACCCACACCATCTGATACACCTTCAACTACTCCCATCTCTAAGAAAGGAAGGGTAAAAATGATGGCTCGCAAGGATGTTGTTGGTGGAGAGAAAACCAAGAAAATAAATGAAAAATTGAAAGCAAGTAGGGAAGAAGAACCCCAAAAATCTGACGAGTCATTCAAGTCTGCAACTAAGGGGGAAGAAACGGTTTCTTCTAAGTCTGAACAGGTAACGACTGGTCTCAAATTTAATCTTGAAACTATTTCTAAGGTTGCTACGAATTTGGAAAATAGGTTTGTTCTAGTTGGATCTATGCAGGTGTTGAAACTACTGAGTCTGGAAAGGTGGGTGGTGAAAATAAAGAGAGAAAAGAAAAAGAGAGAGAGGGTGCTCGAAGTACTGTTAGGGGAATGAAAAAAGGATTGGCTGAATCTTCCCCCACCCTGCTGGCCTAACTAAAGAATCAGGTGCTATGGTAGTCTAGGGTGAAGAAACTGATGGAGAAAAGCAGAGTGTGAGAGAGACAGGGGGAAGTGGGTCTGGAGAAGTTGCTGAGCGGTTGGTTAGACTAAGAAAGAATGTTGAAGAACCTGTTCCATATGAACAAGAAACCCTCGCAAACTTACTAAAAAGGATGACTGATAGTTACAAACCCAAGAAGAAAGAAAGTTCAGGAGTGAAATCCCTGGCACTGCTAGGGCAAATAAGAAGAGAAAGGATGTCTCTTCTATCCCTGTAGAGACTCCTCCCACAAGAGGAAGACCTACAAGGAGTCAGAAGAAGCAGAATGAGGCTGAACTGAAAAAGGCCTTAGAGGAAAGTAAGAGAAAAGCTGATGCTAAGGGAAAGAAGAAGGTGGTTGAGCCTATTGAGGCAGTTGAAATTGATGAGATGGACCTGGTCCTTCGAGATGAAGTGGAGACAGAAGATGTGGAGGTTATGACTCCAAAAGCTAAGAAAGTCAAGACTTCCTCCAAGAAGTCTGTTTCAAAAACAAAGTCTGTTGAGCCATCTACTTTGGCTAAAAGAACCAGGTCTGCATTGAAATCAAGAAAAGTGAAAATTGTAGAGGAAGAAGAATGGAGTGGAGAAGTAGAAGAAGAAGAAGAAGAATATGATATTGAGAAGGACAAGATGTTAAGTTTGGGAAGAGAACCATCTTGAAAGGTAGACTCCTCAGGGATTTGGAGGAGGAATGAATGTTACTGCTGCTGGAGAAGTTACAATTGCAAGGTTGGAAGGACATGGTCCTTCAGATGGATGAAAGGCTGGCCAGAACTGAGATTGTGAAGTTCATGGCTAACTGTGAGATCAAAGATGGTAGGGTCACCAGTGTGGTCAAGGGGGTGACAATGACTTTTGATGATAAAGAACTGGGAGAAATCTTAGTTGTCCCTGCTGAAGGGTACAATGATTATAAGAAGCTTAAATGGTCAAGTGTAGAGAATCTCCCTAAGCCCTTACCATTACTAGGAAGTTTGGTGACAATGAAGAGGAACTTGAGCCCAAGGCTATTTACAAATGTGAGATGAAGCCACCCCATAAAGTGTTGTTTGAATTTGTTAATAAATGTGTGTTGCCAAAGGCAGGAAAGGAGGCACATTGATACATTCATGGACCTGGTCCTTATGGAATGTTTGGACAGTGGGAGGCAAATCAATTGGCTTGGATTTATCATCCAGCTTCTTGACAGGGTTGTAAATGGCACCAAGACTCACGACATACCCTATGGTTTTATTCTCACAGTTGTACTTGCACATTTCAAGGTATCCGTCAAGAAATGGAAAGTTGGTACAAGCAAGGATCATTTTTGGGCAAACACTCTAACTGCTTCTGACTATGAAGTTCAAACCACTCCCAAAGAACCCGGTTCATCCAAAAAGGTACCAGTGAGCAGCAAAGTGCGAGCTTTGGTGCAAGAAAGTAGGGCAAAAGATGTTGAGATTGATAGGTTGAAGAAGAGGTTGGCTGAAGTGGAGACTGATAGAGATGCTCTCAGAGCTGAGCTGCCAAAAGAGAAGGAGAAGAATGATGGCATTCTTCAGGATATGCTGAAACTGCTCCAAGCCAAAAACCAAGAACCTGGTCCTTCCCAGCCTTAAGCCTCCTAGCCTAGTGTAGATCAACCAGTGACCCAGCTCGGGATTGTTTTTGTTTCTTTTGCTCATGATCCAGTGTTCTTATTTCTTTTTATGCTTTGTGGTAGGATCTTATCAATCAATGAAATTCAATGCCTTTTGCTCTAATTGTTTGTTGATATTTCTTAGATGGCTAATATCCTTAGATTGATAGTTGATGCTTAAAATCCATGATTGCATTTGAAGTAGCCCCAGTGACCATACTTTCTATTAAAATTTGGTTATTTCACATAATTATACAACTTTTCAATGATGCCAGTGTGTTGATGTTGAGCTGAGTTGAAATAGGTTTCATGCTTATGAAAAGCATTAAGTTTGTCATCATCAAAAAGGGGGAATTTGTTGGCTTGAGTAAGTTTGTTTTGAAGATTGACAAAGGAACACATGCATGAACCAGGTCCATGGACAGTATACACAGGTGACAGATAGAATTAATTAAAAGGCTTGCACGTGAAAGGGATAAGTATAAGTGATTATATATGATATTCCCTGGAAAAAAGGTTGCATATTTGATAAGGAGTAGGACTCCTTACTTGAAGAGAACTCTATCCAAGATAAGGGAAGAGTTAGAAGTTGAAGTTGACTAGAACTCTTCCACCAAGGAAGAGTAAAGCATTAGAACTCTAGTTAATCTTTTATTTACTAACTCTATATATATCAGTTGTGTTCTCTTTTACAGGTGATGCACACATACTGAAGTTAAGCATGAATTGAGAGCAAAATAGCAAGGCATTTTGTGAGTAATTCATGTGATATTTAAGAGTGCGATCGTGAAGCTACACGAAGCAGATTGAAAAACCAGCTCCATAAAGAGTTTCATGTGTCTTTCTTTATTTCTAGTTCAAAGTGTAGTAGGCGTTTTGAGTTGTACTTTTCAGCTTTCTAAGGAGCAAATTGTACTAGGTACCTGAGTTATATCATTCAAGTTAGCGTTAACTTGAAGCAGACGCAATAACCTGTGGCTGGTTGCTATAAGGGTTAGAGTTAATCCTTAGGTTTGCAAGAGTTTGTAAACTTTGTTGTTGGCTCAGAGTTTTAGTGAAGTGTTTGGAAAAAATCCCACTGGGTAGTAGGTCGTGGTTTTTCCACCTTTTGAGCCGGGTGTTTTCCACATAAAAATACTTGTATTCTTTACTTTCTGCATTTAATATTACGCAATTGTAGTATAAGGAACACGTAGAAAAACCAAGTCCTTCTATAATCTATGCACGCCTGTTTATCTTTGCACCACCATTGAAACTGCCGTCTGAATCAAGAACTGCCTCTTGAAGTTCCAAAAGTATTCCAGTATGCATGTAATTCTGGATTTTTGCTAATTGTTGTTTTTTTGTTTTTTTTTGTTTTACAGTGTGCATTTTTACTTTGGTTTTGCTCTGTTTTTTTGATTTGCTTTCTTTGTTCGGTTCTTCCTTTGGACTATCATTTATAGGTTTGTGCTGCAACGTATTCAGAGTTGATACCCTGCCTTGACAGAAATTTGATATATCAATTGAGACTGAGGCTTAATTTTACTGTTCTGGAGCATTATGAGAGGCATTGTCCCCCTCCTCAACGTCGTTACAACTGTCTTAGCAGACAAATACATCGCAGCGATTGCGGGGGTAATTAAGCTCAATTTTTTTACTTATGTTTGTGCGATGATTTTACTTATAATTGCATCATAATTTAACGGGTTTTTTTGGTGTGCTTGTGTAGATGCTAAAATTGCCCAGTGAAAAACTCGGCAATGGTGGAAGCATAACAAGTGTTCTTGACGTTATTCCAACAAGCTTCGTTTTGTTACTGTTACGTCCCAGAATACCTCCCTGATGTGACTGACACTCAGTTAACACTACCTGCCAGGCGAATCAACTTATACCATATACTTAGCATTTATTCAAAACTCAACCAAAATAAATGTAAGTTCCAACATTTCGATAATTAAATGCGAATAATTAGTGATTCAAATTGTTCTATAAATATTTATGAATATTAACTACCAAATGGAAGAACAATACTCTAGCCCGAATCTCACACTAGACCATGGAGTATCTAAGAGAATTACAAAAGACATCACATGAATAAATGATAAAAACTCTTTTCGGAGCCTCCACGAACAATGCGGTGGCTCACCTCAATAACTGAATCAACTTTAGCGAATTCGTAAGCTATTAGCCCCGTCTTCATCAATAGCATCTGCATGGATATGCAGGTAAGGAGTGAGTTATACGTGAATATAAACTAGTAAGATTCTCGACCCGCCACTCTGAAAACCTCTGGAACAAGTGTTAGAAAATACAAACACCCAACAAGACCTGTGGAATAATTGTTAGAAAATACAAACACACAACGAGTACAAAAATATTATGCACAATAATATTTCACAATACAGTTGTCCAAACTAATATTTAGCAGCACACACTTATATCTTTAACACAATTCACACTCAGGACTTGTCATAAACAGCAGTGCAGGAAATTAACCAAACATCCCAACGAGTCCACGACAGCGTACACAATGTCCTAAATCTACCATGAAGGCATACACAATACCCCAAATATATTACGGCAGCGAAGAAATAATCTAACGCTCCAACACCATAGCACGAGGCTACGCCATATCACACCACACCACAAATCACTTAGTAAATAATTTCAGTTTTTTTTTTACAAAATAGTATATATTTGCGGCAGGTCAAAGATCACCGATTCTGTCAAGTGCATGCTCGTCCCAACACATGGACCAGACAGACAAAACATACTTTCAAAATAAAAAGCAAGCATCAAAGCTTAAAGTCTCACTTACCTTGCAAACGACAAGTTTCTCAATCTTGCGACGTACGGCCTCCAATATCCCCGATCTAAAAGAGAACATAACGATGAGTTGCGAATTTTTATGCATGTCGGGTTCGAACTCATGACTCACTCGTTGGTTTGGTAAAAGAGATGTGCTGGTGTAAGTTCCCATTCCCAAATCTTCTACGTTGCTGCCAAACCAATGTAAAAGAAATTGATTTTGGTTTGCTCGTTACTGATATTAAAATAAGCCACTTCTCCTGTCAAAATCCAATAAAGGTCGTGATGGCGCCGAACACCACTGTTAGGCAAGCCAACACCATGAAATTATTTGAATTCTCGTTTTTAGTATTTTTGAAACAATTTCTTTTCCTTACATTAAACAATAAATAATGATGTCTTTAACAGGTTTACATACTGAATAATCCCATAGTCCTCCCAGAACCCGGTGTCACAAGTGCATGAGCAATTTCTAGGAAATAAAATGTAATACCACAACTGTCCGGAATACAAATTGGACAAAAAAGAAAATACAATACTCTGAAGGAGACTCTGCTGGCTGCGGGTCGTCTCGAGAGGTGCAGCACACCTAAGTCTCCGTATCAACCATGCTGCTGCACCCAACGAGGCCAATAAACATACATATGCATGTGCAACAAAAATGCACAGCAAGTTTAGTATGAGTAAGAACGCGTACCCAGTAAGTATCCAGTCTAATCTCGAAGAAGTAGTGACGAGAGATCGACTTCGACGCTTACTAGTGGTCCAATAATATAATACCAATAATGTGAAAAAAATCATGACTTTTATAAGGCGACCGCAAACTCAATAATCATGAAGCAAGTAAACATCCTTTCGTTGACAGAAATCTTCAAACTCATTTTCATCTTTTAACAATTTACATTCCCGGCCAATGAGGCCACATCAATTATCAATAATTCCAAAACAATCAAGCAAGCCATGCGCAAATCATGCCGAGGTCGTACGGCCCGATCCAACATAATATTTAAACTGTGCACTGCTAGAGGGTCGAATGGCGCGAACCATAGATGCATCTATTACTCCACTCGCGAATCATACATGCAATGTGGTCAAATATAAATAAAAGAATTACCCCGCTCGCGAATCATACATGCGATGCAGGTACACATAGATACACACATCCAATAGTCAATCAAGACTTCATCAAGAAAACAATTACCCAAGGAAATGACAACTTTTCTTTTAACAGTCAAGAAAGTGATGTTTAGCC